CAGCTGCCCGTAACTGCAGTCCCAGGGGATCCGACAGCCTCTTCTGACCTCCACAGGCATTGCACGATACGGGTGCACTTAACCTACATGCAGGCAATACACACATATATATAAAATAAAAATAATAAAAATTTTTTTAAAGTTTTGAAAAGAGAAAAGATTTGCTGTGATCATAGTGGAGTCTTTTTAAGTATAGCGATTCCTTAGTAACAGTTGGTAGTATGGAGATGGAGAAAGGAAGCAGAGAACTTGTGTTTAGCAGTGAATTCTGAAAAGAACCTCAGATTCTCTGCAGAACCATAATACATTTTTTTAAAATTGAATTCTTTGCAAACAGTTGTAAATTTCAGTGTAGTACTGGATCAGTACATACAGTGGGGACTTGCACAGATGGGATAGAAAGGGTCCAATATTAGGAGCTTCCAGACAAGGTCTCCCTGTAGCCCCAGCTGGCCTGGAACTCACAGAGATCGCCTGCCTCTGCCTCCGGAGTCCTGAAACTAAAGGTGTATGCCACCACACCTGGCCTGGATGCTGACATGCTGACATTTATATAAGGAACTGTATAGAAAAGCAGGCCGAAGGCAGTGAACACCCTGGTGTAAGAACACAGATCAGTTGTAGTGAGTGTGCAGGGTTGAGAGTGAGTGCCTTCAGCCAAGGATGTTATGGAGGACTTCCACAAGCAGGTATTATATGAGCTGAGCCTTGAAAGATGAAGTTTAGTCCTTCAGAAGATTATTGGAATCCAAGCAACCACTGTTCTAGAAGACTTGGAAGCATAATTGTGCTGTTTTATGTTCAAAGATGGTATCTGAGCAGAAGAACGGAGGGCGTCAGGCCTCATGATAGGGAGCATGGGCTTGGTTTTGTGGGCTGTGAGGAGAGGTGAGAGTTCTTAGCTTTTTGTACTTACTCATTAGAATATTATGTGCCAAACTGTGGAAGGCATGCATGTGTGCGTGCGTGCATGTCTATTTCTTGAAATTTGTCCCTCTCTTATACTTACCAGAAAATTAAGGCCCAGAGGGAGAGAGAAATTTGTTCCCAGCCACCTAGCTAATGAGGAGCAGAATGTGGTTCAGCCTTCCCCGTGTCAGCCTCCGCACTGATAGCCCCAGGGTTACAGTGAAGGTGTGGTGATGGGCCCCTCTTTTCCAGAGATTAGAATTAGGGAGACGTTATGATGTGGAAGAGGTCCCAGTGGAGATTAGAATTTGGTAAAGGAATCAGCTGTGAAGGATCTAGAAGGTTCATGTTTCTAGTTTCATTATTGGGATGTCAGGCATGCCATAAACGAGGCCCGAGAGGGTGAAGCTGCACAGCCAATCACACTGTAGATTTCAGTTGGGGACTAGGAGAAAATAGAAGCCTGTCCCCTCACCAAGGGTATCTTCTAAAACTGAATCCTTAGTAGACAACACACAGATGTGAGCTCAGTACATTTGGGAGTCCATGTCCATCACCACCCTGAGACATGGGCTCGTGTAGTCTGTGAACCACGCTTCAGACACAGCTCTTGAAAACTAAGAGTATAGCCATGGTAACATTTGATTTGGCTTAGCATAGATTTGCCTCCTTGGGATTATGACTTATAATTTTTATCTTTTTTTAATGGTTTTAGTTTGAAATGAGTAGTTGATGTACTTAGGTGCATCCTGGACTTGTTTTTTCAAACATAGTAGACTTGACGGTCCTAATGAGGGATTTAGTATGTCACGTGTTTCTTATGAAGAAAAACATTGAACTGACAAACATGCCCTTGAGTTTTTGTCTGCCCCCCCCGCCCCAATAGCTTACACAGTTTTCTTCTTTGAAGTCTCACCTGGGCCCTTGGAAGTGTAACCAGTATGTCCCACTCTCTGTCCCTCTGGTTTTTGTTGTTGTTTTTCTTTTGTGTTTTGCAGTACTGGGGATTGAACCTAGGCCCTCATACATGCTAAGTAAGCACTCTGCCACTGAGCTACAGCCCCAGTCAGTGGCCAGTGCATTTTCTCTTTGGTGTGCAGATTGCCCTCAGTTGTATGGTGAAGCTGGCCAAGGGCCGGCCCCATCTGAGCAGGTCGGTGGTCGACACCCTGCTGACCCAGCTGCACAGTGCTCAGGATGCTGCCCGGATCCTCATGTGCCATTGCCTGGCCGCCACTGCCATGCAGCTGCCAGTGCTGGGCGACGGAATGCTTGGTGACCTCATGGAGCTCTACAAGGTGATTGGAAGATCTGCCACGGACAAGCAACAGGAACTCCTGGTAAAGAGCGTTGTAAACCGTCTGAATGACAGGGTGCTGGTCTGGGGTGAGCACTTAGGAAGCCAGCACTCTGTGTGGCTACTTCCAAAGCAGAACAGACAACAGCGGGTTAGCACGGTCACTTCCGCCTGGCGGTGTGGAGCAGTGGCACATGTGTGAGGCCCTGAGCTACTCCAGAGTCCCACAACTTGTGAAGCAGGTTTGGATTTCAGTGCATGTCTGCTTCGGGGTACCCAGCAGTAAAGTCTGTGCCAAAATGTCACTGTCTGGAGTGCTCGGCCGACTCAGCACTGCAAAAGGACATGCTCAGCCTGCACATTGTAGTTTGGGTTCAGAAGCCATGTTATGTTGAGTTAGGTTTAAAGCCACTTTCTTCACTGGGTATGGTATAGCATGCTTATAATCCCAGTACTTTGGGAAGTGAAGGCAGGAGGGTCAGGGGCCCAAGGTTAGTCTCAGCTTCATACAAAACAAAAAACTACTGTGTAGTCAGAAAATACAAATCTGATAATGAGCATAAATTAAACCAAATTCATATTTCAGGACCTCTAGCTGTCTGTTACTCAGTTTAGGTTTTTCTAGACATAGAGTTAAGACAGGTCAATGCTTAGAAGCAGAAGCAGTAGAAACTGTAGGGTGTTTGATTGAAAGTCCCCGTGGCTAAGAGCTGCCTTCGGTGAATAAAGCTCTTGGATGGTTTGCGGGGAAGCAGAAGGAAATGACCCACTCAAGCTGGACTGCAGTGGTCCTCATGGAGCATTGTGTGGAGATGGAGTCCCACTTCATCACTGGCTGTTGGGGAAGGTTCCCCTGAGCACCCGGTGACAGTGGTCATGGTAATGATGTCCCAGTAGCCACAGTGTGCACCACAGAGTCTCAGAAGCAGTTATCCAAGTTTGCTTTTTATTGAAGTGGCACTTTGAACTGATGGTCTTTATCTCCCCTCTCCTTTTTCTATTTATTTATTTTCAGTTTTTTATGTCTATCAGTGTTTTGCCTGCAGGTATGTAAGTGTACCACATGTGGGCAATGCCCCAAGAGGCCAGAAGAGGGCATCAGATCCCCAGGGACTAGAACTACAGATAGTTAGCCTCCATGTGGGTGCTGGGAACCAAACCTGGGTCCTCTGCAAAAGCAGCTGGTGTTCTTAACTACAGAGTTATCTTGCCAGCCCTGTCTTTATCACTTTTCATTGGTGCTACTCAAGACAGTTTTAAAATGTGAAAGATGGGGCTAGAGAGATGGCTCAGACCCGGGTTTGAATCCCAGCACCCACATGCCAGCTAACAATTGTCGGTAACTCCAGTTCCAGGGGATCCAACAACCTCTTCTTACCTCTGCAGGCATTGCATGACACGGGTACACTTACCTACCTGTAGGCAATACACGCATACACATAAAAATAAACAAATAAAATTTTAAAATGTGAAATGATATATTTTTTATAAATCTAAGAATACAGTAAAAACTTTTGCATCCATAACTTAGCTTAAGAAAAAAGTACTATCTATGTGGTGAAAGTGCCCTGCCAGCACCGCCCGCTTCCCCATCGCGGTTACTTTTCTCATTGCTGTGGCAAAATGCTCACAGAAACATCTTAAGGTAAAAAGGTTCCATCCTGGCTTACAGCTTGAGAAGCAGCGCTGTCCGTGGCACGGAAGCTTGGCGTCAGGATCCTGTGGCAGCTGACACGTGACACTTGAAGTCAGGAGGCAGAGAGGACAATGTGCCACTTGTTTTTCCCTTTTTACAAGTCCAGGACTCCAGGCCATGGAGTGGTGCGGCCGATGTTCAAGGTGGTGCTCCCACCACGGCTTTTCTGGGGACATCCTCAGAGATCTAAGCAAGTGCTGTATTTCCATGGTGGTTCTAAGTCCTCTGAAAAGGACGATAAAATGAACCATCACACTCCCTAATTGTTGTCTTCTCCTAGAGCACAATCGCCTTGAATTTGGTCACTCGTTTCTACGTATGCTGCACTTCAATGACCTGAGCATTTGTCCTACGTAATATTTCATATTTGGCGCATTTTAGCCTTATGTAAATGTTATGCTACAAGTTAGTTAGCCTGTCTTGTTAGTCGTTTATAGTGATATATAACCATTTCACTGATGTGTCTCACTGTGCAATCATATAATTAATTCATTCTTAGAGACATTGTTACTAATTATTTGCTTTTACAAAACAATGCTCCGAGTCAGTATAATAAATTGCTTAATGACTTCCAAATGAGAGATGGAATCAATGTCCACGGAAAATGAATTTTTATGTTTACACGTGAGAATGTACGAAAATGCACATGTGGAGGGCAGAGGACAGCTTTCAGGAGTCAGTTCTCTTATCTAGGGGATTGAACTCGGGTCAGCAGGTACCTTTTACCCGCTGAGCCATCTCACTGATGCCCTTTTTTTTTTTTTTTTTTTTTTTGGATAAACCTTTAGGGTAAGCTGTCTATGACATGGGGTAAAATTATACGACTTTCTTACTTCCTGTTTCTTAGGTGAGTCTGGCTACTGTGATTTTTGTGGCCAGCCAGAAAGCATTGTCCGCTGATGTCAAGGCAGGAATCAGGCAGCAGCTGGAAAATGTCTCCAATGGCTGGACCGTGTACCGGATTGCCAGGCAGGCTTCCAGAATGGTATGCGCCTCCCTTCAGGGTCACGGGGCGCGGTGCAGTGTCAGGTCATACAGCATAGACACGGGCATTCTTATTGCAGTCAAAACCGAAACTAAAGGTTGGAAGTACTTAATGCTCACAGACTCTCCAGATGATGAGGGGAAGGACCTAATTTTTAGCTTTTTTTTTTAAATAAACAAGCCTGTTTTATTGGTGTCTATCAGTGTGGCACCTCAGCGTGCACAGATCTGGCGATGGGTTGCTAGCCCCTCTCTTACTTTGCTTTGGGTTGTTGCATGTATGCTCTACTCAACCATGTGGGAGGCCTAGCCGTTCTTACTGCGCTTCTTTGAGTGCAAAGCACGGTTAGTACAGGACTCTTCTAGGGCTGGGTCCTAGGACAGCTCTAGGAGCATGGCCAAAGCACATGTTCTGCCCCACCCTCCACCCCCTGGGGCATTGCTGGCAGGACAGCTGGGCAGAGCATCCTGTGCCAAGCATGCAGACCCTGCAGGGTCCTGGGCATCTCTGGCTCCCAGGTACTAAGTGGCATGTGCCTTCTCTAACAACTACCCCACCTCTGTGGTTCCTTCACCTCATGTAAAATGTCCCACAAATGCTTACATTTTCTGTATTTTTAAACTAAAACTCTAGACTTAAATCACAGTTCATTCCATTTATTTTTGTCTTTGGAACTATTTAGTAAAGAACTTGAAACATGTTACATAAATGCAGTTCAGCAGATTTTCTCTTAAGAACTATTTAGACCAGGTCTCAAAGAGTTATGTGATATGCTGTGTGGTTACTCAGTCTTGTTCTGGGTTTGCTCTCTACTTCCTACATCAACTCTTTGACATACAAGTGCCTAACAAACGGCCTGTCTCTCTTTCATTTTGTAGGGTAATCATGACATGGCCAGAGAGCTTTATCAGAGTTTGCTGACCCAAGTTGCCTCAGAACACTTCTACTTCTGGCTGAATAGTTTGAAGGAGTTCTCACATGCAGAACAGTGTCTGACTGGGTTACAGGAGGAGAATTACAGCTCAGCACTTTCTTGCATTGCTGAGTCTTTAAAATTCTACCACAAAGGGATTGCTTCCTTGACAGTAAGTCCTCTCCTTTGGTGATCATGATTTGTATGAGAATTCTCTCCTTTTTGGAGAGGCTTACCTTGTTTTAACTACTTGAGAAACTTGCTGGTAATATCAGAATTATAAATGTGCCATGGAAATAAGCCCTTTTATCGTTAATAGGTTGGGAGAAGTTTACGTTTTATGTTTATAAGGTACGGGATACCACTTATGCAGGTATTGCTAAATCCAGGCAGGGTAAATGGTGAGGAGGGAGCATTTTTCTTCCAGACTCCATTAGTTCTAGTGTAGCTCAGTTCCACCATCAAACACAGGCCCCTGACCACCTTTCCTACCAGGCCACTAACCAAGTAGACCTTTTACAAGATGTTTTAGTTTTTTGTTTTGTGGTGTTGTGTCATGTTGAAGATTGAACACAAGACATTGTACATACTAGGTAAGTGCTCTGTCACTGAACTGGATCCCTAGGGAGTTTCTTTATTATAAAGAAGAAATGGTTAAATATTCTAGTGTGCCAACTTTTACATTTTATGACACCCACACGGGCAGTCAGCCACCTGCACTTTTTTTTTTTGAAACAGGGTCTTTCTGTAGCCCCAGCTCTCCTGGGACTCACTATGTAGACCAGGCTGGCCTTGAACTCACGGAGATCCACCTGCCCCTGCCTCCCAAGTCCTGGGACAACAGACATGTGCCACCACGCCTGGCTTTTTTTTTTTTAGAAGAAGCATTTCATTACAGCTTTAACATACTCAACAACAGTTTCCAGAGCAAAGACACATCTCTTTCAAAAGTGGCTGTAAAATTTTTAGGTTTGTTGTTAAATTAATATAGTTATACAATATTGAACTCAGTATAAGCCCTGTAAGACATAAAAATGAGTTTTTAACCTTTAAAAAAATCTCTGTTTTCACTCACTATGTAGACCAGGCTGGCCTTGAACTCACGGAGATCCACCTGCCCCTGCCTCCCAAGTCCTGGGACAACAGACATGTGCCACCACGCCTGGCTTTTTTTTTTTTAGAAGAAGCATTTCATTACAGCTTTAACATACTCAACAACAGTTTCCAGAGCAAAGACACATCTCTTTCAAAAGTGGCTGTAAAATTTTTAGGTTTGTTGTTAAATTAATATAGTTATACAATATTGAACTCAGTATAAGCCCTGTAAGACATAAAAATGAGTTTTTAACCTTTAAAAAAATCTCTGTTTTATTTTAAAATAGACTGTTTCTTACAGAAAGACTCATTGTTTTTGCTAATAACACTGAGATGTTGGCACATGTATCTCTAATCTGTATGTATCTGATTATAACTAGTCATAATCAGATGCACTTGGATCCTTGCCACCTGAGTATGTCTATAAAGTCATCAGGCAGATTTCAGTGGTATTGTTTATCACCTCTACTAATTAGCATGACGTATATTTCCATGCTTCCTCCTCAAATATAATACATTTTTAAAAAAATTGTTGATTTTGTATGTGTGTGTGTATATCACACAGAACATCCCAAGCCATCTTATTCAACTATATGCCCACTTCCCAGATGGCACCCTCCCATAGCCTCCCTCCCCCCACTAGAGCCCTTATATTCTGATATCCCTGCTATTGTCTGCTGTGTTGTCAGCACCCCCAGCCAATC